AGAGTGAGGACGGGGTGGGGGGGGGGGGGGGGGGAAAGCAGCCTGTTAGATGCGGACAGTATCCAGGATTCGGGTAGATTGGTGTGCGTGGCACACTTGTTACGTTGTGCAATGGAGTAGCCAATCCGAGGACTGCTTCTTGAAAAAATAACGCAACCAAACGATTTGATTTCCACAACCCCGATTGACTGTGCCATTGGGAGGACGAAGAACTTTCCGACAGCACAGGTAAGAAATCGATTGAAATTACGTGTAGTCAGGCAGTCGGTCGAGGCCGCTATCAAGGCCTGGCTAAAAAAACAAAGTGTATTCTTTGCTATATTTTTATCACCCAGCATCTAATGGGACGTGCACGAAATCGTGTGCCATTTTGTCATCCCCTGTTTAGAATTATGGTTGCATTGGGTTGTTTTGTCTAGACTACTACCACATTGTAGTTTCCAATTCCCGATTCTAAACTCGATACCAGGTTCAAATGAAGCTGAATAGAAAACGTTTTTGGTCAAATCGATTCATGGTCAACACAGTGAAATGCCAACAAATGAACGGATTAGAATTTAATAATCAATAAAATAATCGTTCAGCTGTAGCACCTTTCGGTGCGATACCAGGTTCAAATGAAGCTGAATAGAAAACGTTTTTGGTCAAATCGATTCATGGTCAACACAGTGAAATGCCAACAAATGAACGGATTAGAATTTAATAATCAATAAAATAATCGTTCAGCTGTAGCACCCTTTCGGTGCCTAGCTGCCATGCCACACGGAGGAGGCGCGAGGGCTGGGATACTGCCAGGTTGTCCAAGCCTAGACAGGGGAAGTCGAGTAGCAAGGTCGGGTTCGAACCACGGACCTTCCCGTCAGTGAATTCGCGCTCTAACCACTGAGCAATCTCGTCCGATTAGAATTTACACGGGAATAAATAAAAATCTTGGTTCCGGTGTATGTGATGAGGAGGCGGCTTAACTTGGCACAGTGTTGGGCGTTTCAGCAGCATTCTCCACAAGTATTCGATCTATTATTCAACGTAAACTACACAGTTCAGTGTTTTTCATTAGGATACAAGCAGTAAATTTGTGGCAGATTTGGGCCTCTTTGTGGGAAATTCGACTCTCCCACGTCCGACTCTAATGGCGGCCAGACACTGTTTATTTGTATCATCTTGGTGTTCCCATTCACATGCTTTGGGGTGTTAGAGATACACGGGGATTGATGCTCGGTCAGTACAACACTTGTTCGATAGGCAGGAGGTTGGCGGTTGGTTCCGACTCTCCGGTTGTCTAAGATTCAGATTATATTTGACTTTGGACACTGATTTAATCTTCAGAGAGGTCAGTGACTTTACAATCTTCGATGGTAGCCGGTTGGGAAGATGCCAGAAGCAACATGAAGCACGAATTCATGGTTAAGTACACAGGCTGACTGAACGGAGGAATTAGAAGCATGCGGTCATTTTTATCGTCAGTGGTGAATAGTGGTGTGCAAATTCCACACAAGCGTCAGGAGAGAATGATCTAGTAGAATGAAAGGAAAGAAAGGCTAGAAACGTAGATCCGAAAGCTCTATGTCCCTAGGGAAAACGAGTAAGAACAAGATGTTTACACTTTCGATTAGCATTGAAATACATCTGAGCATCACACCGGAGTAAGTCATCACCAGTTGGATAGGCCAAGTATCCTTTACCAAAGAGACTTTCCCTAAGTAGCCCTGCGAATAACTGACTGCGTACATGCCACTGAGATCGGTTGAGTGTCATGTCCTGCAAGGTTTGGAGCCACGTGCACAGAGAGCCATATGAACTCTAACCATGGAGGCCCGAAGACCCGACAATACCCAGCTTGATTGTGGCCATCTTCAATTAGTGTTTCAGTGACGTGTACCCCAAAAACTTCCCGTCGAAGAGTTTTGAGTACAAAGTAGCCCTTCCATTGTTAGACGGTGGTTGGGCCGAGATACTTTCAAGGCGCCCAAACCTAGGATGGTGGACGATTAGAGTCCTCAACCTAAGCTTTCTAATCAGAGTACGAGTAGCATAACAATACATCTTCAGGGAACAATACACCATACGTGTTCCCGGCCCAAAGTTGGAGGGGAAAGAAACTGTTTGTCAGACTTATATTCACTGATAAACCTGTTTGGAGCGACTCTGTTGCATATCACGGCAGTGAAAATATGTTCCTGCAAGATCCATTCGATGCTTCGGAGAGATCGATGTTCAAGCAGTTTTCGAAGATCCACCATGCGCAGTGGCAACGCCTCTGATCCCAAAAGCGGACTAGATCGCACCACAACAGTGCACACTCTATTCTTGACAGACAAACTGACGTCACCCTGGGGCATTGTAGGAACGAGTGGGCGGAGACAAAATAAACACACATGGCGCGGAGGTCAAACGGTCGGATTGCAACAGTAACAACAAATCTTATGTTAGCAAACCGAGAAGCGACATTAAAGTGTTTTGCTGAAGTACGACTTCCAAAAACGATCTAAAACAATGTGAAAAGGTAAACCTACCACGACCATTTATTTATACAGCTCAGCGGCGTCCATGTGACATCACTTGCTTTGACATTGGTTATATTGCTAAAGAACACCAGCCGTCACCCATCAGCTAGGGTGTTGCGGGAGCCGAGTTACTGGGATTTTTTACAGTACACGGTGGACTGGTTTGTTCATGGTGAGGACATTTTAGAGATGAGCATGGCTTATGGGAAACCAAAACAGTTCACATTCTGCTACTTTATTGATGCGAAATTTATTCATCCATGCTTAGCACGTGATTCACTCGCGGTACAGCAGGCGTGGCGTGAATAATTAAGGATGACAGTTATCCAATAACTAGTGGATACTGAAAGAGGAGATTTCTCTGAGGCGGGTATCTCAAGATGGTTGAAAATTAGAAAAATGCGTGCTTCAAAAACCACCAAAATGGGATATGTCATCAGATCTTAATGGATCAACGGTTCGAGTAGGGACTGGTCTTTGTTACCTTTCCGGTGTCGTTCTTACCTGTTTGGTTAGCTGCGCTTTATTGGGTACGTAAATTTGAGGACAGCCAATCAAACAGCCCAAATCAAATGAGGCAGCGAACCATAAATGAACTCCAAAACCACTTCGATGAATGGGATTCTGGGGTGGTTGGAGTCCCGATTTTCAGTAATATCCAACAGTTTTGCTGGCCATGCGAGAATTATATTGAAAAAAAGGGGCATCAATAGAAAGTGCAAACATAAAATTAGGGATTGGTTCATCTGTCCGAATAGAGTTTACCACGGGACTGATATCTAGGCATGTTGTCCGAAGGTGTAGAGCTCCTTGTTCATAGTCATGTCCCATAAGGACACACCAGGACGTTTCACTGCCTTTTCACCTTTTCCCTCATTTCCCAATCGCTAATAAGACGTCATTTCCCCATTACTACGTGGTAGCCATGCAGCGGCGCACTTCTGTCGAGATGATCTTGTTTTAATCAAGATAATGGGTTTTTGAGAGGTTTAGAAGCCATCGGGTGCGTTGGCTTGTGTCCTAAACTTACCATCAGACCCAAGAAGCATGTGCTTTTGTCGTAATTTTCTACAGAATATGAGGTATATGGTTTCTTTTCGGGAATAAATCAGCTCTTGGGAGAAAACAACCTGGCTCTGAAACCTCGGGGGTCGAAACGTTCCCGGGACGTTCCTCGCAGACATTGGGTATGCCAGCCATATTACCCTTGGTTCACATCCCTCAAAAATGCAAACCATTTTAAATAACCAACTCTGCCGCACGGTTTGGCATGCACTTTACGCCTGCAAAGTGTAAAGTGCCGCTAGAAGACTGGGTAAGATCAAACTCAGACCTCATGTTTGCGGAGAAACAAATCGACGTGGTAGATAAATTTGTTTACCTAGGCAGCCGTATGAGTTCCGGTGGACAGGCTAGAGATCAGATTACTTTTCGAATCGGGAAGATCAGGACAGCTTTTGCCAATCTCCGAGACCTATGGCAACGACGTGACGTCAGTTTGTCTATTCAGGGAAAAGTTTACACCGCGACAGTGCGATCCATAATGTTTTATGGACCAAAAACGTGGTGTCTACGCGCAGGGGACATACGAAAGATGTCTGTGTTTGACCATCGGTGTCTCCGAATTATTGGTCGGGTCCTGTGGGAACTGCAGATTAGTAACGCTGGAGTAGGTCAGGTGGTTTTAGGGAGAAAGAACTACCCAGTGGTAGATGAATTAGTCATGCTTCATAGGTTACGCTGGTTAGGATATGCACTCCGCAAAGCACAAGACCGTGTGTCTCGAAGAGCTCATTTCGCCCAGCTCTGTGCTGAGTGGAAACGCCACAGAGGTGGATAGTGTATGATCTGGCAACGAAGTATGGAAACGCTAAGCAGTAAACTGAGTCGGGTCGAGAACTGCCACTTCCCTAGATGAGGACCCCGGGACTCAACTCACCAACGGTTAATGACACTGGCAGAAATGGCCCAATCACTCAGTCAGTGGCGCTCGCCTTCAACACGTAACCAAGCATGACTCCAGATTTAAAGTATTTCTACACTACGGGAAGGCTGAGATGCAGTTGTGGGCAAACACTTCATTCACTCTAGCAGCTGTAGCATTGATTTGTAAACAGTGTCCCAAAAACTACCATTTACCTCTTCACTAGTGAAGTAAATGTATTACTTGTGAAGACGAAAGTTGGTAGCTTAATTTAGTATGCCAATGTGTCCCAAGCCGAAGCGGTCCAAGTACAAATCAACGAAGTTATTCACAAGGCTACCCGGTCTGGGAAACTGGAAACCCAGGTTTTGTCAAACCGCCCGGGAAGACGGACAAACGAAGTAACCGACTACTAAGAAGTTTCGCATCTGGTGTTTGGTTGTGTATCAGACGAACATTAGTGAGTTTGAGCGAGGGACGACCAACCAACCGTGAGTCGACGAGGACTGCATACTTTGTGGAAAACGAGGCGCTGTCCATCATGATGATCGATTAGACAATCGTCACTGATTACAATCATCACCCGAAAATCGACAAACAGAACGGATCACAAGTTAGGCAATTTGGTTTCAACTAAATCGCACTCGCCAAATCTGAGGTGGATTTTGCACCAGATTGGAAATACATAGTTCGGACGGAACAGAAAACTGAGGAGACTCGACCGTGGGTCTCAGGGTTAGTGAAAACTAGGATAGAGGAAATATTTTGTCCGAAAATAGGGCCAAGGTGTGAACGTGAACAGAAGTGATGTGAACAATCCTCGTGCAGTCGAGCAAGATAACAATACGCATCAGGTTTAAAGAGATCAGTGGTTTACTGGTCAGAAAGTGATTGACGCATTATTGTTAAGGTACGTCCTCAAAGTAGGACTTACACCCTGGATGGTCAAGAACGAGGTCACTAACGATCCAGGCCCGTAATGTACGAAAAACAGATACGAATAATTCAATGCATACTCTACGGATAGAAAGTCGATGGAGTCAGAAACAATCTTCAGGAATGACGATACAAGCTCCGTCATTGGTGAGGCATACCAAATGCGAGCAGTGACTGCTTTGTACAATTGAAAAACGTAGTGTACATATGGTCAGAACAGATGTTGGTAGGCTGCAAAGGATAATTTTAGAACACCTGGCGAAAACCAGTGCGCTGGTGAGTTGATACTGCGGTGGTACGCAGGGGTAGTCTATTTAGGTTGAGAAAGGACAGCTTTTTCCGTTTTTTTAGATGACCGCTTGAAATTCTGCGATCTATTTCTAAATACATGCAACATGTGAGCTTCAGTCGTGGAGATAGGAATGCCCCATTTACGAGGAGATTTTGTGTAGACAAAAAACCTGCAATGCATGACCATTTTGATCGGTAAATCGTTGATCCAGAAGTCAAGGTCATTGGGTGTTGGATATTAAAACTCAAATTAGTGCAGACATGGTGCTGGTCTTACTGAGCGATTATTGCGGGCAGCATGGAACTTCCGAAAAAAGTTAATCACTCAGCTGTACTATTCTTTCAGCGTATAGACGCCACATTACATGAAGGAGAGTTGAAATACTGCCAGGTTTCCCAAGGCTAGGTAGGTGCAGTCGAGATGCCGATGTGGGGTTCCTGCCAGGGGCCCTCTGGTCAGTAAATTCGCGTTTTTACTACCGAGTTGCCTGGAGCTCACACCTCAAACTGCCGGTGAACGGATAAAATATATCAAGCCATGACAACACCGAAACAAACCAGCAAGACCAGCTAAAAAGCACGGGAGCAACACAGGCACACAAAAACAAAGACCTCCCGTGAACCCGACGGTGGAAGACTGAGTAAGCTTTAGAAGCTTTAGAAAGTAACAAAATTTGAATCTTCGTGGGTCGGAATCACAGGACCGACAGAATATGCGATGCATTAAAAAGCCAGATGTTCTGACGCTAAATCTACACTCAGTGCTTGTGGCAACAACTAAGTTGAACAGTTAAGCACCCCACCCAACAGAGAGCGTGCATCCGGACTCAAGAGATCAACGGAATAAACCAAGAAGAAATGTCGGTCCTGTCAAAGCCGGGGAGCAAGGAAGTGCAACTGTCTAAGGAGAATGAATATTGCTCAGTCCTTATGTAAAGCCCTAAACACAAATGCCCTAGCATTTGAATATTTCGACGGTGCATAACAGTCTAATTAAGTCTTACCGTGGATCGCTCGCACGGACAAATGGCAGGAGAACCAGTGACTTAACCACTGCAGAGATGGTAAAGTTTGTACGTAAGGGCTCATAGTTGGGGATGCATATGTGACAAGCTGTACCTAAGAATTTTCACAAGTTGACGCACGAGGCTTACTGGGCTATCGAGTTTGTTACCGGTGAAATCATCTAAGAGCACTAAATAATTCCTTCTTGCAAAGACAGCTTGTCAACATGCTAATTGTTGCCACAACCCTCTGAACTGTCACTTAAGAAGGTGACTTTGTGCAACTGTCCTTGGGAGAGATTTTATCATGGCGAAATGAGTCTTGAGAAACATATACTACTGTGTCATTGACAGTAATTACCGCAGCTTGCTCTAAACTTATGGAAACCGTTGAGTTTACGCACCCAATCACCAACTTGCTAATTGTTGCCACAACCCTCTGAACTGTCACTTAAGAAGGTGACTTTGTGCAACTGTCCTTGGGAGAGATTTTATCATGGCGAAATGAGTCTTGAGAAACATATACTACTGTGTCATTGACAGTAATTACCGCAGCTTGCTCTAAACTTATGGAAACCGTTGAGTTTACGCACCCAATCACCAACTTTTGTTCGGGGGGGGGGGGGGGGGATCGCGTTGCGTTTTTTCCACAGCCTACCTCATGCAATACTGCTTTGTCCTCGATTCATTTGCTTCCTTTTTCAGTGCAATAAATTTATCCGGAAACGGGATATTTGCCTCGCCAGGTCTTTGATTTCTGTAAGCTCCAACCATCTTTACTACTAAGCCCCTACATCTAAATCCAAGGAATGTGTGCCTCCCGACGGGGAACATGAGCGAATAGAACTCGGAGTGATGCTAGCTTTGTTGGCTTTTGTGTGTGGATACTAATCCGAAAAAAAAATCTGAAGTGCTGGACGATGTGTATGGCTGATCTCCGGTCATTTCACGCTTCAAGTACGGTGCTTTCACTTCATGCAGCCAAACCACTTTCATTGTACGCGTTGTAACTTGCTACTGTTCAAGTAAAAATTGACCGACCTAGGTCACAAATGACGCCAAAAAGTTCAATAACAAGCTAAACACGTGAACGACCGTTTTAAGGACGCAAGACACATCTAAAGAGAATTTGTTGACGCACAATGCAAACTAAGGAGTCCCGAATGACAATGGATTTATCCAACCACACCAAGTCACGACAGACATGATTCTTCGTCCGTTAGCCATTGCACATAGAAGCATTCACACATTTTATTTAAACCAATTTGAACACTTCTTTTATCTTACGGTCTCATTTACAGGAGCAAGCTCGGAATTGGTCAGACGACGCAGTCCTCAAGTGGTGCGACACCACATCAAGTTGTGTCCTCTTTCACCTTTCTTCTTCAACTTCGTCATTGATACGGTCATGAAAGACTCACTACCAGCCTCTAATACCTGTGGGGTCGAAGTGCTCCCTGGGTCTCCGCTCACAGATATCGAGTACGCAGACGACACAGCTCTTCTGGGATCTGACCCCGTGGTAATGCAAACAATATTAAATAATCTAAATAATTCTGCCTCGCGGTTCGGCATGCGCTTCACACCTGCAAAGTGTAAAGTGCTACTGCAAGACTGGGTGGACTGGAACCCTAGCCTCATGCTTGCGGATGAACCGATTGAGGTAGTAGGCAAATTTGTTTGTCTGGGCAGCTGTATCAGTCCCAGTGCTCTAGCGAAAGATGATATTTCCATCCGGATTGGGAAGGCCGGAACAGCTTTTGTGAACCTGCGTCACCTGTAGCGTAGGCTTGACATCATCTCTGTCAAGGGTCGAGTTTACAATGCTACGGTGCTATACGGGTCAGAAAGGTGGCCGCTGTGCGCAGAGGACGTTAAAAGACTTTCACTGTTTGATCATCGATGTCTTCAAAGCATTGCCCGAATCTGGTGGGAACACCGGATCAGCAATTCTGAAGTAC